CAGGTTGCTCATTTCATATGACACCCAATATTGGCTGCATTTCAGATCTTTGTAGTCTGGATGGAGGATTTGTAAAACTTAAGAATGATGAGTCATGCCAAGTGAAGGGAATTGGAAATGTGCTGTTGAAATTTAAAAATGGTCATCACATTTTGCTAAAACATACAAGATAGGTACCCGCACTTAGAAGAAATCTCATATCTTTAGGAGTTCTTGATGATGAAAATTACCAAATTGGTATTAAAAATGGCTTTACAAATATAACAAGAAATCAAGAACTTATTGTCAGTTCACCTAAGTTTAATGGAATTTATGTAATAGGCGCTGAGATAATTCCACCTAAAAATTCTGTGAATTCTATCACACACCCTGATAAATCAGAACTGTGGCATAAAAGACTTGGCCACTTGAGTGAAAAAGGTTTAAAAACACTATCATATCAAGGGGCATTTGGGAAAGATAGTGTTCAAAAATTGACTTTTTGTGAACACTGTATCATGGAAAAACAAGTCAGATTGCTTTTTAAGGCAGGGTTGCACAAATCCCAAGATGTCTTTGAATACATACATTCTGATTTATGGAGACCTGCTCCTGTTCCTACTGTATCTAGTTACAGATATTATCTTCTTACAACTGATGACTATTCAAGAACAACATGGATTTTCTTACTAAAATCTAAATCTGATACTTTTACAATTTTCAAATAATGGAATGTACTGATTGAAAATCAGACTGGTAAGAAGATAAAAGTTTTAAGAACTGACAATGGGCTTGAATTTTGCAATACCGAATTTGATCAATATTGCAGTAAACAAGGGATAATGAGACATAAAACTGTGAGCTATACCCCACAAAAAAATGGGGTTGCCGAGAGGTTAAATAGAACAATTCTTGAAAGGACCAAATGTATGTTAATCAGTTCTGGCCTTCCAAAAATTTTCTGAGGTGAGACTGTAAAAACAGCATGTTATCTTATCAATAGATGTCCTTCCAGCTCTCTAAATAACAGATTCCCGAACAAATATGGTTTGGTTTAATGCCAGACTATTCTCACCTAAGAACCTTTGGATGTGCAGCTTATGCACATCATACTGAGATAAAACTGGACCCTAGATCATTGAAGGGTGTGTTCTTAGGATATGGAGAAGGTGTTAAAGGTTATAGACTGTGGTTAAGAGATGTGAGGGGTTATAAGGTGATAACAAGCAGATCTGTTATCTTTAATGAAGATGATTTCCCTTGTCTTAGTGACAAATATAGTAAAAATATGGGAAAAGATGACTTTATTATCACATAAATTAATTTTTATAACCAAAATACTAATGACCAGACTCAGTTTGAGGTGAAGCCACATCAGGTAGAACCATAGAATGTCTCTGATGTTGAAATATTAGAAGATGAACAACATCTGGAGCCTGCACATGACCTGCAGGGCTACCAGCTTGCTAGAGACAGAGAAAGGAGGCAAATAAGACCTCCTTCCAGGTATCAGTATGCTGATTTTGCATCTGATCTGTTTGACATAGAACTAGCCTCTTATGAAGAGGCTATTTCTTCCAAAGAATCCCCTAAGTGGATTGCTGTGATGGAAGATGAAATGAACTCACTCTTTAAAAATGAAACCTGGACTTTAGTTGAAAAATCGAAAGATTGTAAATTGATTGATTGTAAATGGGTTTATAAGATTAAAGAGGGTGAGACTAAGGCTAGTGATAAAAGATATAAGGTAAGACTTGTAGCTAAAGACTTTAATCAAAGGAAAAGGATAGATTACACTGAAATCTTTTCACCGGTTGTTAAATATACATCCATTAGAGTCCTACTTGCTATAGTGACACAATTTGACTTGGAGTTAGAATAACTTGATGTGAAAACTACCTTCTTGTATGGTTCTTTAGATGAAACCATACATATGACTCAACCAAGAGGATTTGATGTGGTAGGAAAGGGAAACTTAGTGTGTCTCTTAAAGAAATCCTTGTATGGCCTAAAACAGGCCCCTAGGCAGTGGAATAAAAGATTTGACTCTTTTATACAAGGTTTGAACTTCAAGAAATCTGAATATGATCCCTGTTTCTATTATAAAAAAGAAGGTGAATTTGATTTTTTCTATCTGCTTTTGTATGTCGATGATATACTCCTTACTGGTCATAATTCTGTTGCACTTAACTCAATTAAAGAAAATCTGAAATTTGAATTTGAAATGAAAGATTTAGGACCAGTTAGAAAGATTTTGGACATGGAAATAAAAAGAGATAGAATAAATGAAAAGTTGTTTCTAAAACAAAAATCTTATGTTGATAAGGTTGTTAAAAGGTTTTCCCTTCATGAATCTAAGCATGTTAGCTTGCCTTTATCTGCTGGTATGAAATTATCTGTTGATCAATCGCCTAAAACTGAAGAAGAACGTAAAAGAATAATGAATGTTCCGTAGTCTAATGCTGTTAGATCTGTAATGTATGTTATGGTATTGACGCCGGATAGGATAATGATTATCCTATTGGCTTGTTGTAGCAGATAATTCGCAAGAAAAGAACGATAGAAAACGCCCAAAAAAACAGAGAAAATACTCTGAATTCAACTCAATATTATTAATAATGCAGAATGCTGAAAACGAACCCACAAGCCGGGTTAAATAGCTGCGAAATACGAAATTATTGGAAAATTACCAAAAATGGCAAAATTCCGAAATTATACCAAAATAAAATATTAAGTAAAAGAAGTAAGTTGCAAAAAATTTGGCTTAATTCGAGTTCTCTAACATATAGAAAAAAGGAAACTAAATATTACCATAAATAGTAAAAAATAACTTAAAATTGAATTTCAGAAAGGAAAACAGTGGACTTTGGGCTTGAAATTGACGTCCACCGAGCAAAGCTCGTGGCCACGATGTGCGCGCCGAAGAGAGCTTTCCGAATTGGGGTCATAATAGCGATTCCGATAACCGTAGCCAAAGTTATGGTCAAATTACCAAAGACGCGTCAAAATCTCCCAATTAAAGAAATAATGGTAATTTACTTTCCATCTTTGCGCCGATCCGCCATCTCATGGTATCTCAGCGCCATCATCGTGCAATCTGACAAATCAGCATCACTTGACTCGGATCCTCCTACATCAGGTATGCTTTAGACTTAATATTGCTTATGCTGTGAGTGTGTTAAATAGATTTATGAGTAACGTAGGTGAAATACATTAGCAATGCATGAAAAATCTGATTAAATATTTGAAAGGAACCAGTAACTTAGGTTTAATGTTCAAAACTAATAAAAAGGGACTTAGACTTAAGAGTTATGTAGATTCAGATTTTGCTGGCAACCCGGACAATAGGAAGTCTACAACAACATATTTTTATGTTATAAATTATACATGCATTAGCTGGAAATCCCAGCTTAAAAAATTGGTTGCATTGTCTTTAACCGAAGCTGAATATATTGTTGTAACTGAAGCAGTTAAGGAAGGTTTATGGTTGAAGGGTTTACTTAGTGAATTACGGCTTATAGAAAATTAGGTGGAGTTGTGTTCAGACAACCAGAGTGCTATTTTTCTAAGTAAAAAATCCTATTTTGCATGATAGATCCAAGCATATAGATGTAAAGTTCCATTTTATTAGAGATATCATTGATAGGGGTGATATTAGATTGATCAAAACACCTACTAAAGTAAATCCAGCAGATGCCGGAACTAAGGTAATCCCTATTACTAAGTTTGTTGATTCTTTAAGATTAATTAATCTTGAAGAAGACTGATTTTCATTATTTTATTTTACAGGTAATAAGAGCAAATGAAATGAAGTTATAAGTTTTGAATCCACAATTAGGATAGGCACAAAAATAGCAAAGGTGGAGAATGTAGAATTGGGTTGCTGTTTGTGTGGAAGTCCAGCCCAGTTACGATAAGTTGGCCCAAGTTAAAGACTCAACCCATGACCCGTTTTAATGGCCCAGGAAGCAGAATAATCTCGAAGCTGAAACAGATTTAAATAAAAACGCGTTTTCAATTTAAAATAACAACTTACACCAAATCTGGACACGTGGTTAACTAGAAGCAGTTGGATCAAAAGTGGGGCTTCTCTCTAGTAAAAAGGGTCTAGGGTTTGGGGGTATTATTCTGGCACGGCTTCTATATTTTTTGCGTTTTTCTCTCTGTAATTTTTTATTCTCTCTTAGACCTTTGTGTAGATTTCTGTTAAGAGAGTGAAATCTTATGAATTCTTGTGTGAGTTCAACTTGATGTTGAGGGATTTTGCAGTTGCTGTGGTTGGAACTGTGTGTTCCAATTGTAATCGAAGTTTGCTGTATTTCTCCGGTGATTTTAGTGAATTCGAGTTTATTCCTTCATGGATGCTCAACGGGGACTAGGTGATCTGACAAATCACTGAACCTCGGGGCTTCGGCCTAAAATCGCTTGTGTTCTTTTACTGTTTTTGTTCAGATCTACAAATCTTGATTTTAGTCTTGCGATTTTTCGTTGGTTTTAAAACGTTCATAAGTTCCTACAAAAACAATAACTAACACATAAGAACTTGAATTATTTTTACAATGTCGACATTTTAAAAATACGACTCTTAACTTTGAAATCAAAGATCATTAAGTTCAAATAAGCAATCGAATTTAAAAATTAATGTTCTCAAACGAGCCACCATCTTGCAATGATACATTAAAGGTAAATCTCACATCAATTAGACATAAGAACAATAACCAACATATAAGATTTAGACTACTTTTAATAATGTTGACCTTTTAATGAAACGTAATCAAACACAACTATAATGATTATTCTCAATTTTGAGACTGTCTCAACGAGCCAATTTGTGAAACATTTTTTGTGACAACACCGTCAAAGCCTAAGTAAAATTAATCCTTTCAGAATTCAACCAGTTTTAAGTTCATCTTAAGAACAGCAAGAATCGTACAGTAAAAAATTAGAGTTTGAACTCCTTAATAAATGGCAAAGTGCAAGTTCAGATCTGGTATTTCCTCAAAAATGTTGGTTTCGCAATATAAAAATTTCGACTGGAATTAAATAAATACATTATTCCTAACCGGAAAATATTGTGTAAAGAGCGTACTAGAAACTAGAATTATAATAGAAGCAGTAACTGATAATTTCTGGGAGCTGGATACTACAACAAGAACGCTCTTTCAAAGAGCAACCATCTACATATGCAATACTACAACATAGAGGAAAGAAAATTACCGATTATAGGTAAATTTTTGAGAATTATACACCCATGATTGCCTATGAGTTCCTTCTTCCAGTCGATCCCTCCCTTCAATCTTTCATTGAGCATTTACAGTTCTTTTGATGCTCCCGCAGTTCCTGCAGTATTAAGATATTTATCAATTAATTGCATAGAGACATCAAAGAAGAAAACTATTCAATTTTAGCAGTGTTTATAATCATTTTTATTTTCATCGGTCACTGACTGCCATTGCACCTTCATTACTTCAAGTAACTCTTCTTATGGGAAAATTAGAAAAGAATTATAAAATCAAACATGGCCAATCTAATTTTCATGATGATCAGCTTAAGTTTCAGTTTGTTTTGTCAATCATTCACATTGGTCGATTTCACAGAAAGAGCTTTCACCATCTCTTCCCAATACTATATTTTATGTTAACATTAATGGCTAGCTCATCATCTTTTTGGAACAAAAATAATTTATTCAATTTCTTATAAAACTTTCAAGGATTCAACTAAAATGCATATTGTGTTACGACGTTCGTTAAGATGATAGAATAATTAAAGTCATTTTTCATAAAATACGGAGTTAGTATTCTTAACCATTGATTCTACTTATTCTCTGGACACTAATCGATACATATGTTTGGTAGTGACTTGGACGATTTCGGTGTCAGTCTGTAGGTTGGGCCATAACCGACCCAACTGACCAATGCCCAGCTCTAACTATGATAAGTCAACTTATAATGAAACTGTTTGTTGTTAACACACATTGCCAAGGATGAACCTAGCTGTCATGATGCACAAATTATTGTAAAAATGAGAATGAAAAATATAGCCGTTATGGGCCCACACAAGAAATAGAAATTCAGTTTGGTAGCTTGATGTGATGGATAACGGTCATATTTTTCATTTTAATAGGGAAAGAATGGGAAACAAACAGGGGCTTGATAGAAAGTACAAAATCAAAAATATGATCAATAATTATTCATTTTGTAGGTTTTTGTCATTTCATTTGCTACCCTTGGCTTATAAGATTGTCATGTTGTAGGTTATCAGTCCAAAAGATTTCATTAACATTTCTTTCAGCTCATCATAAATATAATGAGCTCCCAACCCAAATTGAATATCATTTGACGAATGGGGAAAAAATAATTGTCAACACGAAGAACCTGGATCTCGTTTTGCAAGAACTTGACATATGCTACAGCTTCGTCTAACATGTCAGTTGTGTTAGTTTGCTGCATAAACAAAAGCAAAAGTTTTCCATGTCAAAGTTATGAAGCGCTTAAGTACTCATGATAAACAAGTGACAAAGTAAATCACCAAATAACTGGAACAAAATGCATCCATGGGGCAACTTGTCATTAAAAACCTAAAAAAGAATGAGTGGTAAATTGTGTTCAGAAGAACTATCACACATAACGGCTTTGTCAGGCCAAAAAAATTAAAATTATAAGACCATAAAAGGTCTAAGATTTTGCAATGCAACGCATCAGTTTACAAAGAATATTAAGAAATATCATGTAAATTGAAAGGCTACACCCACATTTCGAGGAAATTGCAAGTAGCCAATAAGCATATTCAGAAACTATCAATATAACCACAAGCAAACTCAGCCCCTGTTTGGTTGAGTTTTTGAGAATCAATTTAGTGAAAAGTGATTTTTTGGAGAATGTGTAATTAATAAGTAGGGAAAAGTTATGGGTCCACGTGCAAAATTATTCATTGACAGAATCTGTGGTTTAAAATGAGTTCAGAGTAGACAATGCGGACCAAAAAGGGGCTCAGTGTATTATTCATATGAGCCCATACATCAACTAGTATGACAGGATCCTCCAAACCACTCCGATTCACCCCACCCACCAAAGCAATAGCACCAATATAATTATCATCACAATAATAAAATTGTAACGTTTTCTAAAACATTCATGGATATTTTTAACATGTCAAAAAATAATATAAATCATAAAATAACTCTAATGGTAATATATCAGAATCTCCAATGCATAACTTAAAGTATCCTATTTCCTGTCTTTACACGCCCCCTTCTGCCATATATAGATGATACCTTCTTGTTATGTGTAGGCCAGATGTGATCTCAAAATTTTAGGTCTCTGAATCCTTACATTTAAGTTTTTTTGCGGAGTTTTTCCTTCGAGGCCATACCAGAAGTAGAAATATAGTACAATAAGATGGCCCTGGCCCATATTATAAGTTTCCAGCACGAACCATAGGATATATGACACTAACTCTCCAAAAATGACAGCAAAAGTCTCTTACATTTCAGAATAAGCGTCAGATTTTAAGAGAGAGAGATACAGGTAAACAATACAAAGGTATAAGAATAAGTAACTATAAGCAAACAATTATTTAGAATTCTGAGCAGACTTCTCAAAAGCATATTATAGCCTAGTTTATACAATATTATTATTTATTCAAATATTTTACATAGGGTCCTTATTACTAATGGATTCTCTGCAATTTTGGAGTCCTCTAATTAGGATTAGCATGTAGATATATTAAGGGCCCGTTTGGTAGAGATTTTGAGAATTGATTTTTTGACCGTTAAAAGAAAAGTGGGGTCCACATGTGAGAGAAGAAGTCAAAAATTACGGCTTGAATAGTAAAATAACGGTCAAAAAATCAATTTTTTGAGGCAAAAAATCTCTACCAAACGGGGCCTAAATGTGATTCGTTGATGAAGCAAGAAGTTCTTGATTATCATAGCATTTTCAGGTCATTATAATGACATATTAAGGTAATAACTAAAGTACTAGTAATAGATGATCAAAACTTTTCTCTGCAATTTTACAAATTCAAATGTTGACATACTAATAACACATCATCTAAAAAATTAGGCCACAGATTAGGGTGCTGCCAAAAAAGTCTCTGATTTAAATGACTAGTTTTCAGCAGACATGCAACGCAGAAAAAGGGAGAGATTGTTGGTCACCAGAAATTTTCAATAGCTTTGCTTGATTTTTGCCAGAACAGGTGCAGAAAAATATTTTTGAGAATGGAAATATCAATATATCATCATAGAAAAACAAACAATCCATCACCCCCAACTAGTTTTATTTACCTCCAAGATTTATTCATAAGTTCAAATCAAAAGGGAATACAGGATGATTGCACGAATAATTTACCTTATCCATATCGGGAACAAGTTCTTGAAGCTTTCGTATCCGGTCACTAATTCGTGTTCTTCGCACCTGATCATCAAAGAAAAGAGAAGTCTTGAGAATATTCTGCTTGAAGAATTGACCAATAATATAGCTAACAGACAAAAAGGAAAAACATTATACCCTCTCCGCAATGCTGCGAGGATGTGTAGCACAGCCACGCTTTGCTCGAGTCCTACACATGACTGAATCCTCCAAAAGCTTTTCTGTTTCAGCATCAAATGAGTGCACCAGCCCACGTTTCTCTCCTCTCTACACATCCAAACAAAAAAAAAAAGTTTAATTAAATGCACATACTATCATGCACGCATGCAGAAAGAATAAAGTAATCATCGTGGAGCAAACAAGTTTATAATTTTCATCAAGCGATTGTAAATACCTATGAAGATGTGTATAATCCTAGTTTGAGTTATAGAAATCCACAAATCATATAAACATGACAACAACTGCACCAGGAATCAAGATTTTAGATCCACATAATTGGAAGAAAAAAATTATGAATTCGACCTATATTCCTTCGTTTCACATTTACGCACATATCCATACAACAGTATTCATGCGGATTTTGTTCAAATGATAAAAGATCATTTATATTATTTGGTCAAATTGACTACTTCTAATTTAATAAAGTATCAAAAAGGACCTCCCTGTCAAAGGTCAATTTAAACTTAGGAATTTCCTTTTTTTGTGTACTTTCCTTTTTTCTGGAGTATCATTATTAATTAAGCATGTGGCTTAGCGTGAGCCATATCTGACTGAAATAACTGAGTTCCACAGCCTTCAATCCGGCATAAAAGATTAAAGATCTCGACACAAAGGTTGGGGCAATTAGGTCAACATCTCAGAACATTGGAGTGGAGATACACGACCACCAAAATGTTAAACTGGGAAAAGCCTGGATTTTCTGGAATGAACAAAGACTAAGAACAGGAATTTTTTATGACTAACCTAGAAAGGTTTTATGGATTTTTATTGAACAGCAGCCTCTTTCCACAAAATTTGGAAGGTGAAGCTTTTGTTCATTTCGCTTTCCATTTTAGTCCTTGTGATATAAAACCTCATAGTTTTTCCATACTGACCAAGGGTCACAGCCACATTGCAGCACTTTTTACTGTCTGCCATGGTTCCCCCAACTTCCCTGATTTGCTTTCTAACGTTTTAGCTTTATCAGCATTTTTGGTCATGCGTAAAAATTGGCTTTTAACAGCATTTTTCAGCTTTTCAGCACGGCCAAACATCATCTATGTTAATTTTTTGAAAAGCTCTCAGAGTGCTCCATCCCCTCCAAAATCCCAACGGAACCGGAAAGTGTGAATCTATTCTTTCATTTGATGAATGTAATCTTAACAAAAACATCAACTTTTAAGTAAACACATGTTGAAATTTCAATCGTTTCTCATTCATACCATTACTTCAAAAGTTTCAAATAAAAGTGGTAAATGAATACAAAATTGAGCGAACAATATGCTATACAACACTTGCCTGTTGAGAAGAAGAGGATAACTTGGGTGAAATCTTGTCTGCATCCTCAACCTCGAGAGCCCAATTCCCCGGAGGAACATTTACCAACGAAGGTGATGTATATTCCGGAATCCCAAAACTCGGAAAGTAGCCATCGGTATTAATTTGGGACAAAAACTTCGCCGGAGAACTGTTTTGTCTCAGAAAATTACTCAACCCAGGCGACGGCCCACTACTTATGGTTTCCAATAAGCTCAGATCAGTGTCGTACTGGCTTGTGGAGGTTCCGGTGGCGGAGTTCGGTGGAACTGGTGGTGGTTTGGAGGATGACAATAAAGGTGGGTCTAAAACATTCTCAGAGGGTTCTTCTTCGGATTCGAGTAAGGCTTCTAACCAGTTCGCCGGAGCTGAGCGGAACCGGGCGAGTCCACTGCCAGCGCTTCGATTCAGTTCACTGCTTCCACCAACACTTGCCGGTTGCATCTGGTTGATTAATTCAGTAATTTCTCTTTTCATGCTTATTTTATTAAAATTTCTTTCAACTTTTTAGAATTTTTTTACCTTTCAGGAGATTGCTTGTTGCACTACCAAGAATCTGAATTTCAGCACTGAAGTAAAGAGTGGACAAGAAAGTTCTTTGGATTAACTATTTGAATGGTCACTGAATTATAATTATTGACCCCGTTAAAACACATTAATTTATTTAAAATTTTCTTTTTTCTATGTTTAATCATATAATTTTCAATAAAAGAATATTACAAATAAATCGAAAAATTTTCATTCTTTTACAATCATCCATTTTTCAAAAAAAATAATATTCCCCCATTATAAATCTAAATAATGGGGAGCCAAACGGGGACTTAATAGTATTATTTAATTTACAAATGTATTTCATCGATCACTTAACGATATCAGTTGTTACCCATATGTCACTTAAGTAGAAAAATTCATTGGGTTCAACGAACGGCGTTGACTTAAACAATAAATGACTAACATGGTGAATAGTTTGATGACAATTGAAATACAATTTTTTAAATGATAACAATTGGTATAGGTAAGTCACTGTTAGGATACAATTTTAAGTTCAATTATTAAGTTGTATCAAACTTTTCCTTCTCTCAAATTGACATCTTAAAAGAAAAAATCAAAGAAAATGAAGGGAAATAGAAGAAACTGAAACTGTGTTTCTCATCTTTTAAAAATTTAAATTGTTTGCTACAAGATCATTATATACTGCACATTCACACAATAAAATATTCTACACACAACCCAATAAAATTTTCTTATTTTTAACCACAGGCTCTCAAAAAAATACTATTCAACAACTCATTATTCCCAAATAAATTCTATCAAACAAGCCCTGAAAATAAAGGAAAAATATAACTTTTAAGAATTGGGTATTATAGATTTCTGCAAAAAAATCAAATTTTGTTTGTGGGTATCTCATTTTTCTTACGAAAAAATGAATTTGTCAAAGAAATATTGATTTTTTGGATGTAGTGATTGAGATTTCTACAAAAGATTAGATTTTATTAATTGTGGGATCAGACACTTTGAAATGACATTGGATTGTAGTGCCCAACTTGAATTGTGGAATTGGATTGTGTTGCCCGAATTTGTGAAATGGACAATGATATATGTGCATAATTTTTTTACCTAATCATTTACCTACTACTCATAATAGAGATAGGGACCACATTTGGAAATTTTTATATTTGTGCGGGGCCCATATTCTTTGCGAGAGGGGACAACTTTCGATACATTTCATTCGGTACAAATTGAATTGTCTTTACAAAATTGGACAAATGAGATTTGCGAATGATTGAATATTTGAAAGTGAGCTCCAACCCAAATCTGAAAAAGTTAGAGTGCGTTTTGTTTGTCGTTTTCCAACCGTTTTCTATTTTTAATTTTCGAAAATGCACAAAACGTGTTTGGTCACTTGTTTTCCAAAATATATTTTCGAAAACAAGAAAAAAAACTATAACTGAAAATTAAAAATGATTTATTTTTTTTCCATTTTGAGTGTTTTCAGTTAAAAAACTCAAAATGCGGAAAAAGCTAAAAAGCCTCATTTTTTATTTTTTTTCTTTTTTTACCCAATGAATGCTCAGCAGTACTTTTAAAATAGTTTATTCACCAAGTTTAAAATATATATTATCTGATAATATAATAGCAGCAAATTATTATGTTTTAGTAAATAATCAAATTAATTGAATAAATGTCATAAAACAATTTCTAAAAATTTTAAACCATACTCATTTTCTAGTTCTCTGTTTTCAGAAATCGTTTTCCAAAATGACAAACCAAACACGTTTTCTGTAATTCGAAAATAGCTCGTCAAAATAGAAAACTAAAAATGAATTCAAAACTGAAAACAAAAAATGGAAACGTAAAACAAACGCACCTGATATTTTTCTTTAATATAGGCATCTGATTTTTAGTTTTTCTTTTTTTCCTTCTTTTTTTTGATTTCTTCTTTCACACGAGTCAATTTGTGAGAAAAATAAATTGTTATTACTTAATAATTGAGCTGAAAACTGTATTTCGATAGTACTACTTAACAACTAAACTTAAAATTATATCTCGAGAACTATGCAAGGTGTTATACAACCATTGCTCAAATCAACATCGTTTGTTGAACTAACGATTTTTCCACTTAAGTGATGGATGAGTAACACAGTACATCGTTCAATGACTATTGAAATATATTTTCAATTCAGTTGTTAAGTAGTAACATTTGATATAATTTAATGATAATTCAAAATATTAACCTAGAGTTCTTCTCCCATTTTATTTCTTGGAAAAATTTCATTCAAGGTCTTTAATTATAGGTTCATTTCAAGTTGGTAACTCAACTTTAATTTACATTGATTTTATTATTCAATTATTACTTTGATTTTGTTTCAATTTGATCGTTCACCTTAAATTCTATGCATTAATTGGACCATTTTTCATTTTTGTAATCAATGCAAAATTGAGAAATTGATATATGATATCATGACAAGTAAAATACGGGACATAACTTATATTTTTTTATTATACAAATCCTACGTTTTTTGTTTGCAAAATTGTAAGTCTTTTGCGTTGACAAATGGCATGTATGTTCGTATTTATCCATTTCGTTAATCTGGTCATAAGTTTCACTAATTCATTGCAAATTATACCGGTCATGTCATGAATTCAGCTAATTTTGGTCAATAAGCATAAATCATCAAGTAAGGAGAACAATAAATAAGACGAGTATATCATTGACAAATTAGGTCTCGATCCTGTTAAAAAAAAAAAACAAATGGAATTTGAACTCATCCTAATAACTTGAAAGCTTAGGATGGTTTATAAGCAAAATATTTAATTGGAATAAAATGAAAGTTTGGTGATTAATTTGATATAAGATATAATTTGTATGATTAAGTTGAAATAAATATTAAGTTTGAGCGACCATTGTTGAACAAATTTGTATTTAAGTAACCTGTGATGAAATTTTCCCTTTCTTTCTCCAATAAATAGAAATCTCAAATCTTTAATGAAAATCACATGGGTGATTTTTCTATTTGACCTATCACTAATCTTTTTTGTTGAAAGGTTTATATTACCCTTAATAAAAAGATTCTTTCTATATTATCACATATATCCTAATATTTTGAACTTTTTATCTTATATTTACTCTATTTTGAATATTTGAATATAATTTCATTCCATGATCTAATAAATTGGAATAATCTGCAACCTATTGTTCACATTTATTATTTAATATATTATACTCTTCAGAAGATGCATTCATATTTTCTAATTCAGAATACATATTTTTATTACTTCTATCATTCTTTCTAATAAATTATCAAATTCTTTAATTGTATATCCTGACATTTATTCAAATGATCATCAAATCATGCAATTAATCCCTACGATTCTTTAAGATCTTAAAAAGATTCATTCTAATTTTAGCAAAAATTTAATAGTTTTACCTTAGATTTGACCTGGACTTGTATTCTTAGAACCAAGTGACCTTCGAGCTCTGAATCTGTAAACTGCTTCCATCAATGGCCTCCTGCTTTCATGGAATTGTTATTATTTCAGCTACTTGCTCTCACTGTATCAACTTTTAAAAAATGAAATTCTAGACTTCTGTTAAAGAAAACTTTTTTTTTTACTAAAATAAGAAAGAAACTTTTTATCAGATCTATTAAGAATCTATGCGAATAAAGATTTAGAAACTCATATTTATATCCAAAATATTTTAGTTTTATTTCTATCAGAATTTATACAAGATTTCTATTTGATACAAAAGAATTTCCAGAAAAATTGATTTTTTCAAACTGGGAATAGATTACAACTCGAGATTTCACTCAAAGATGAGATGTCTCTTCTCTATGGCAATGTCTCTATTTATACAAGTTTATGAGACTCTATTACATCATTGAGTACATCAGTAAGGCACACTTGCCTCTCTATTTTTCTTCCCTGGGCCTCCATGTTGATTCAACTTTTTATCCAAATAGCATATTTTTCTATTATTACTCTTTATCTTCAATGTCTTCACATGCGGCTATATTATTGTTCTCCATACACTTTTGACAAAGGTGTTCTATTATTGTCCTCTTCCTTCATTTCTTCACATACAGTTGTGGCGCTCCCTTAACTGGCGAGATTCTTTTATAGTGGTAGGACATTCTGGAAATTGATGTATATCAAATCTTGTAATATAACCTTTCAAAATTTCTGATTTTGCATATCCTCCATTGGATACCAACATCCAATTTTCATATTGACACAAGCATAAGAATTTTTTATCAAACAAATTTTTGATAATGTTATAGATGACTTTAATTCCAAGTGCTCTTCTATGTCTGATCCATGATTTTGTCACTGTTGGAATTTTTCTATTATTTTCTGTAACATCTATTTGGAAATTGGCTGCAACATATCCAATTGAGATTATGTGTTCATCTGGATAGTACACAACTCCATCATATTCTGAACTGATTGAATATAATTTCAAATATATTTTCCTTCCCTTGGCAAATTTGGATACTTCTTTAATAAATATGCTATCAAACTTCGAAATTTCAATAAAATCTTTTCCTGGATATACTAGATCCATGAATCCATAATCTGCCATAATTTTTATAAATGAAAGGTCTCCTTCTTCCATGACAGTTATTTTTGGATAAACATTATTTCCCGGAGAAATGAAATACGAATAACTCATTTTTATTTCATAAGCAATTTTGACTATTTTGGCATATTTTTCTTCTTTTGGATTTAAAGGGATTTTATCTTCTTGATATATGATGCTGATTATTTTGATATCTCTTTTATCTCCATGTATCATAACATTCTTAGTTGATGATACAGAAATGGAATCTCCTTTATTATCAATTGGTATGTTGTCAAGTCTGGGTCCACCGCTGCTTCCAGCTGTCCTTGTTTGGTATTGATTTGGAAAACTCATTTCTGAACTCTTTGGTATATCTGTCTCAGACAATATATCTTTTAGTTGTACTGCAATAGCATCAACTTAATTTTTGAGTTCTATGGCATATTTATGATGTTTAGCAGTGATATTCAACAATATTTTTATATTTGAGTTGAACATCTCTGAGATCTGGATTGCTCCAGAGTTTATATGTTCGGATCCTTCTT